CACACACACACACACACACACACACACACACACACACACACACACACACGGAAACTGATGCACGTTCAAATCTGAAAATCGCAATTATTTTAGAAAGTGGCTCAAATCTGCCTTTCTTCGTTTCACAAACGTACTCCAGTAGATCGAATCATAAACACAACCGAGGTGGTGAAGCGGGCTGAGGTGGGTACGATGTGGTAAACGAATAATCTGTGTGGATTATGATACAGTTTTACAAACTGCTCACACAAATATAGACCACCATTGTCAAAAATAAGCTTCTGTACGACTCATTTGATGGGAAACGTGTTGAAGCTGAGTTCAGTAAGGCTGTAACAATAATAAGTGTCAAGTTTATTATTTATTTATTATTTATTATAAAGTTTATTAATTTAGAACAAAACAAAATAAATTCAACATTCAAAACAAATCAAGTTAAATGAAAGGTAGCAGAAGAACAAAAGAATCTTATGATTTCTGCCGCTTTTTCTTAAATAAATTCAATCAAAAAAAATCTTCAATTTATAACATACAAAAAAATGAAAGAAAAAGATAAGTGTCAGGTTTAAGTTAACTAGACTGCAGCAGAGACAGCCTGGTGATTTGAGCTTTTGTTGCCCAGTCAGGAATCATGATGGACGATAAATAAAGCTGGACTCATAGAAGCTGGAAAGCTTTCGGAGGACAGGTTGTGCTGCCAAATCATCAATAAAGCAAAACTTCCACTGAAATTATTTCTACACATTTTTCTTTCCTTTTTTACTGCTTGAATTCCATATTGTACAAAAGAGGATTTGAGGCACTAAAAAAAAAGAATGAATTCTGAGAAAAAAGTCTGAGTTGTTCTTTTTTTGGTCTTTGCTGTGTTGCAAACAATAATCTGCAGAAATCTTTTCTGATTTTTTTTCTTAGTCATGTTTTTTTTAAAGACAGTTTTATATGAAGTCTAAAGTTTTCTAACAGGTCTGTCTGTGTGTCGTTCAGGTGATGAGTCTGGTGTCTTTCTTCAGTCCTCTCATCACTGCAGGGATTTTCTCAGCCACGCTCTCCTCAGCTCTAGCTTCTCTGGTCAGCGCTCCCAAAGTTTTCCAGGTCAGAAATAAACGCCATTTTTTACTTACTTTTATCACTTAATCATTACTTATCACTTTTTTCCTTTCTCTCTTTTGCTATGAGTTTTATTTCTTGTTTAAAAACTTCCAGCTGTGAGTTTGTACCCATCCAGAGCTTATTCTGAACCCTTCAATCTTAAAGCCAGAATTTCACGTCATATTTTGAACCTTGTAACTCCAGGCTCTGTGTAAGGACAACATCTACCCAGGTCTGGGTGTGTTTGCTAAAGGATACGGTAAAAACAACGAGCCTCTGCGTGGTTACGTCCTCACCTTCTGCATCGGCCTCGCCTTTATCCTTATAGGTGGGCCGCAAAGCTACGACAATTTAATTAAAAAAACTAACAAAAAACACGATTTGACTAGTGAAACTGTTGGTTTTTGTCCCGTCAGCTGAGTTGAACATCATCGCTCCCATCATCTCTAACTTCTTCCTGGCGTCGTACGCTCTCATCAACTTTTCTGTTTTCCACGCCTCCATGGCCAACTCACCAGGTAAACCCTGAAACTGAAGCTTTAACACAGTTTTTATTTAACATATTCCTCGGAACCGAGTTAAAAACCTAAAGAAAGAGAAAAACATATATATAATTTTGTAGGTAAATTGCCACAAACAGTTAACATCACGCATCTCTGCTTTTTGCGGATGATGTGGTCCTGTTGGCTTCATCGGAACGAGATCTGCAGCTCTCGCTGGAGCGGTTCGCAGTCGAGTGCAAAGCGGCCGGGATGAGGCTCAGTGCCTCCAAATCCGAGGCCATGGTCTTGAGCCGGAAAAAGGCAGAGTGCCTTCTCCGGGTCAGGGGGGTCGTCCTGCCTCAAGTGGAGGAGTTTAAGTATCTGGGGATCTTGTTCACAAATGGGGGAAGAAGGGAGCGGGAGATCGACAGGCGGATTGGCGCAGCGTCTGCTGTAAAGCGGGCGCTGTACCGGTCCGTCGTGGTGAAGAGAGAGCTGAGTCAGAAAGCGAAGCTCTCGATTTACCGGTCGATCTACGTTCCTACCCTCATCTATGGTCATGAGCTTTGGGTCATGACCGAAAGAACGAGGTCTCGGATACAAGCGGCTGAAATGGGTTTCCTCCGCAGGGTGGCTGGACTCTCCCTTAGAGATAGGGTGAGAAGCTCGGTCATCCGGGAGGGACTCAGAGTAGAGCCGCTGCTCCTCCACGTTGAGAGGAGCCAGTTGAGGTGGCTCGGGCATCTGGTAAGGATGCCTCCTGGACGCCTCCCTGGTGAGGTGTTCCGGGCACGTCCCACCGGGAGGAGGCCCCGAGGAAGACCCAGGACACGCTGGAGGGACTATGTCTCTCGGCTGGCCTGGGAACACCTTGGAGTTCCCCCGGAGGAGCTGGAAGAAGTGGCTGGGGAGAGGGAGGTCTGGGCCTCCCTTCTGAAGCTGCTGCCCCCGCGACCCGACCCCGGATAGGTGGAAGAAAATGGATGGATGGATGGATGGATTGAAGTTAACCTCACGGATACCTTTTTTCTTTAAGACTGGAAAATATGTTTTTCATCACAGGTTGGCGTCCCAGCTTTAAATACTACAACATGTGGGTGTCTCTGGCGGGCGCCATCCTGTGCTGCGTTGTGATGTTTGTCATCAACTGGTGGGCCGCCCTCGTCACTCTGCTCATCGTCCTTGCGCTCTACATCTACGTCAGCTACAAGAAACCAGGTGAGAACCTGACTGTGTTTTACTTCCTAAAGTGCAGTGCATTCTGCTTCTAACGACCGGTCTACACGAGACTTAAATTAGGTGCGGGGTTCCACCAACAACCCCTGACCTGATAACCTCAACCTGCGAGATGGTGTGCGGAGTTGTATTAAACCAGAGATATAAGGGGCAGCTTGTTCATATAAGGCTCCAAAAGTTAAAACCAGAATTTTAAAATTAATTCTAAAATGCCAGCGAGGAGTAGCTAAAACAGATGTGAGCTTGTTTGTGAGCTGAGTTCTGGACCACCTGAAGATGGTCCAGCTCCTTCTGCTTTAAACACGTGATTAAACTTTTGCAATAGTTCAAACGAGAAGTTTTTGACAAGAAACTTCAATTTTGAGATGTTCCTAATATGGAAGCGGCAGTTTCTAGTCAGTTGTTTTGTGTGTTGTTTCAAAGACATCACAGAACCAAAACAAGTTTCTGAAGTTGGACTGGACAGAAGGACCTAAATACCAATAAAACTGTTTAATTTGAGGAACCTTATTTTCACAATAACAATAGGATAACAATAAGTGTTTCAGTTGCAAGTAATTGTTGCTCAACCATTGTTTAATGCTGGCTAAACAATTTATTAAAGACTTTAACTTATGAAATTCTTTTAACGAGCAGTAAAGCTGAATACCATCAGCATAGAAGCTGATATCACACATGTCTAAATTGCTGAATTATCTGCCCAGTTGTAAAGAATAAATAGAATAGGTCCCAATACAGAACCCTGGGGTACACCACAAGTCAGACTGGTAGTGTCGTATTGTTTGACCATCTTTTAATCTTTTAGTTCTATGGCTGAAAACTGTTTGTTTCACTGCTTGAACTGAACCCGTTCGCTCATCTTCACAGCTCAAATCTGTCACTGTTACTTTCTGCAGATGTAAACTGGGGTTCTTCTACTCAGGCTCTGATCTACAACCAGGCTCTAACACACTGCCTGAACCTCTCCGGAGTGGAGGACCACGTCAAAAACTTCAGGTCTGACTGAAAAACATTGACAGCTTGTTTGTGTGAAGTCATCATTGTGGTTTTTTTTTTTTTTCCTGTTCCCAGGCCGCAGTGTTTAGTTCTGGCCGGTTATCCAAACTCCCGTCCGGCTCTGCTGCAGCTGGTTAATTCTTTCACTAAGAACGTCAGCCTGATGGTCTGTGGCCACGTCAGGACTGTACGTACCGGCTGTCTGTCATAATGTGATGAGCCAATGCAACTTCTACAACCACCACTCATGTTTTTTGTTTATTCAGGCGTCTCGTCGACCAAACTTTAAGGAGGTGTCCCAGGATTATGCTCGCTGTCGGCGCTGGCTCAGCAAGAAACGCATCAAGGCCTTTTATGCTCCTGTGTTTGCCGACAACTTGAGACAAGGGACACAGCTGCTCCTGCAGGTATGAAGACTTCATCTTTGTTGTTCCTCGTGATGTTTGCACCAAAACATTTTGTTCCATCGTCACATCTCTTTCTTCAGGCTGTTGGTTTGGGTCGCCTGAAGCCCAACACGCTGGTCATGGGGTTCAAAAACAACTGGAGCGATGGAGACATGAGAGACGTGGAGAATTACATCAACTCTATCCAGTAAGGACCGTCAAACAGAAAGACTAAAATAAATCTAATTTCTCATATATTTGGTTTAACATTGTTTTCTACACTCCAGTGACGCCTTTGACCTCCAGTTTGGAGTGGTGATCCTCAGACTTCAGGATGGACTGGACATCTCTCACATTCAGGGGCAAGGCACGTTCACAATCGTTTTTTCCAACACTGATTCATTTCATTCCTTTATTTTATTTCATGGTTTGTATTCCTGATTCCCTCTTTTTACATTTGTTCCAAGTGAAATGGAGACAAGTCTTCTGAAAACCTTTTTACAACGCGTCCATCCTCTGTGTTGCCCTTTCCTCTGTTTCAAGACTTGCTTTAGGAGTTTAACTTAAATTATTTTATTCTGCCAATCTGTGGTTAGCTTTAAGGCAACAGGTCCAGTAAGAAAACTGAGAGCAAATCCTTCTTGGCAATGAGACACTTCGACTCCCCGGGCTAGAGAGGAAACGTAATCTAGCAATTTTCTGTCTACCCCAGGGTCTCTCTTCCTTGTGGAACGTGTCCAGAAACCCTCCAGAAAAAACATATTTATAAGACACAATGTGACCGCACTAAAGAGGAAGCTTATTCCCAGATAGCAAAAGTTGTTAATCCAATGTTGAATTATGGTCAAAAAAGTTGATTTTTGGTTAAGGTCGACGATTGATAGTGAATCAACAAAACAATCATCCAGTTCCAGCCAAATAACCAATGTTGAAAAGATGCTATTGAGTCAGTAGCTGCGTTTCCATTGACCATGAAAATGCACAAATTAGAATTTCGAAAAAATATTTGCTCAATGGAAACACATCAATTAAAAAAAATTACATTTTTTGACAAAATGTTTTTGCGCTAGGATGAGGTGGATTTTCGGCCGTGTCGAAATTGGTATTTTTCGCAAAACTGCAATGGAAACACTTTTTTTTCGCATCACGGGAGTCACGTGATCAACAACTGGCTGTTTCTACTGGTGAAATAGACGATAACGAAGAAGATAACGGGAAGTAGAAGCAGTAGTAATATCACAGAAGTAGTAAAAGAAAGAATTAAACTCACCGACTACAATTTTCCAAAAACACAGCATACGTAGCCGCTCCCAAGTAGGGACATGTCTCTGGAAAGCCTTGATAAAAGACGCCGACGTCTCCGCTGATGATGAGTGCTAGGATCGCGGTATGGTATGTGTTTAAATCCATCGCCGCCATGTTTGTAAAGACTTATCGCAAGAACAAATGTATTCACGCGTGACTTTAATAGCGTTTCTTACTTAATGGAAAAATCGCAGTTGCGAAACTGTGTTTTTCGACATTAACAGAAAATTTACAAAGTTTTGCGCACATTTGAAATGGAAACGCAGCTAGTTTTTCATGTTTGAATTCTAATGATTGAAACACCAACGTCTAATCAATGCTGAATCAACATTGATATAGTATCAGTTATAACCTAACGTTGTTTCAACAAGTCACCGACCACTTTTTGTATCATTTCAATGTGGATTTAACATCATAGTTTGCTATCTGGGTGTTAGCCGGCTGTATCCTGGATCTTGTTCTTTCTGTCATGATTCACACCTGGTGAAACAGGTTGAAACGTAGATTGAGAGTTAAATCAAGAGCTTTGCCTTTTAGCTCAGCTTATTCCTCATTAAAACAAACCAGAGCAACACCCCATCACTGTCAATCTGTCCATCCATCCCCTGCTTTATCCCACAAGACTCCCAGACAAAATATTTTATCCCCAACCAGAGAACTTTCCATTTTTTACAATTCTTCGATCTGCAAAACCTCCATTGTAACGTGGCTGAGGGGTTTGAATGCCCCAGTTTTCCTTGGGGGTACGCTGTCTTGTAGGGTCTGTCATGACAAACTGACCTTAGGAGAGGGGTCAACTAAAGAGTGGAAGGTTTGGTTTGCCAGGATACCTCGCCCAGGGTTAGGGAAACCAGAGCACTCCTCTGGAGCCAAGCCTGGTGGTCAAACTTTGTCCACTGGAGCTCAGCTGAGAAGGAAGCCACCTCTACGTGGACCCACTATCTGATTGGAGGTTGGGTGGAAACTAGGTGAAAGTTGGCCTCTGGGCGTGCCGATCCCTGGCAACACAAGCTGATTCTAAGCGCTTAAGTTGTACAAAATACAGAAGTTAAAAGACTTTTTATTGGTGTTTGCCTTGCAGATGAGCTTCTATCGTCCAGCGAGAAGCCACCAAAAAGCAGCAAAGATGTTCAGATTTCTGTCAGTTTGGTTAAAGACTCTGATTCTGACTCCTGTCCTTCAAAAACCACCAGCAACCAAAGCAGCCCGCTCATCTTGAGAGGTAAACCAGGCGTTCAGCTGTTTGCTATTATTAGCTTTCCTTAATATCAGCATCCATCAGACACGAGTTCCAGTCATTTTCATTTAGACATCTCGTTTGTGTGTGTGTGTCATCTGCCATCTACAGATACCAAATCTCCTCTGAGTCTGACTGACCAGCGTCTCTTGGAGAGCAGCCAGATGTTTAAGAAGAAACAGGGTAAAGGAACCATCGACGTCTGGTGGCTGTTTGATGATGGAGGTCAGGTTTTAAGAACGCTCTACTTGTTGTTTTTTTTTTTTGCAACAATTAAAAAAAATAGGACTCATTTATTTGTGACTTTGTAGGTCTGACTCTGCTGATCCCATACCTGCTGACCACCAGGAGCAAGTGGGGCGACTGCAGGATCAGAGTCTTCATCGGTGGAAAGATTAACCGAATTGACCACGACCGCCGAGCGTGAGCCCACATCTGTTCTCCCAACCGGAGCCGAAACCTTTCGGTGTTTAAGTTTTGATGTTGACGGTTCATTCATCTTGTTTTCCAACCAGGATGGCCACGTTGCTCAGCAGGTTCAGAATCGACTTCTCTGACATCAACGTCCTCGGAGACATCAACGTGAAACCTAAAAAACACAAGTACGACCTCCAGAGTCTACCGCCTCCTTGAGTTTACCGACGTCTTCTCGGCTTGACGTTTACGACCCGTTGTTCTGTTCGACAGTAAGCTGAGCTTTAAGGAGCTGATCGAGCCGTACAGACTGAGGGAGGACGACATGGAGCAGGAGGCTGCGGAGAGGCTGAAGGCTCAGGAGCCCTGGAGGATCACTGACAACGAGCTGGAGCTCTACAAGGCCAAGGTCCGCTGTCTGCAGATACCCAGATTAGCACCAGGACTCTTTTGTTTAAAACTCCATTTCTGTGTTTGACCTGCAGACCAACCGTCAGATCAGGCTGAATGAGCTGCTGAAGGAGCACTCCAGCACCGCCAAGCTCATCGTCATGTAAGAACCTTTCTGTATATTCTCCTGATTTTCCACACCAGACTTGTTAAGTTTTATTTACAGATTCAAATCTGACAGCTGTGTCTGTGTTTGTGAGCAGAAGCATGCCTCTGGCCAGGAAGGGCACCGTGTCCAGCGCCCTCTACATGTGCTGGTTGGAGACTTTGTCCAAAGACCTCCCACCTCTGCTGCTGGTCCGAGGAAACCACCAGAGTGTCCTCACCTTCTACTCATAACACACAAACACCACACATACTCTGTCCACACACAGACACACACACAGCCGTTACCTGCACAACAACAGAAGAATGATCAGGCTTCGGGTTTTTTGCTGCGAGGAGATAAATATTTCTGCATTTTTGTTACTAACAAAACAATAAACAGAGACAGCATGATGTTTTCTTAACACCAGGCTGTTTGCTGAATTCTTTGTGCTTTAAATGAAGGAAAATTAACACCAGAAAGCGTTTATTATTTTTTAAATAATTCAGAATGTATGGTCTTATTTATACTTTTTTGTTTGTCTCTTAACTTTGTTTGTACACAATTTTATTAAAGAGTTAACAAAAACTGTTTCTTGTTGTTCTTTCAGTCAACATTAGTTTGAACATATTTTTTAAATCTTAGTTTTACCACAAATAACTTATTTTCTTTAAGGAAATTTATCCTTTGTAAAACTTTAAAAAATGTGATTATTCATACTTCAGTTGTTTATATTATAATGATGTATTAGTTTTTACTCTTCAGTAAAGGATGTGGATACATTTTCCACTTATTCACAACATGTATGTCTACATTGTCTGTGCAAAAGTCTTGATCCAGCCCTCTCTTTAAAATTATTTTGTACATCAACCAGATAAAAATACAGATATAAACATCATGATAACAGTTTAAAGCAGTGATTCACAAAGTTGAGGTTTGGACCTTAATATAGGCTAGGTCATGAAACGCCAATATAAGATTTTAAAACATGTCTACAGCCAGGAAACCAGTTATTTCAATAAAATCATTCTTAGTCATATTAAGCTCTTAAAAACATTGTTCTTAATAAATGCAATTAATATAAAATGATGTTTTTTATTTTTATTTTTTAGTAATGCTTGTATACGTCAACTTGTAGGTTTAAAATTGAAAAATTTGAAAACACTTGTTTGAACCTTTTCTTTTAAGGTAATCATTGCAAACTTTAAAATCAAACATTAAAAGGGTTACTTTAAACTATATCAAATGGTTCAGTTTGTAAGATTTTTATTTATTTACTTGAAAAAGAATAAGAGATTTTGACATGCAGTATTTGCGTCAACACTCATAATTCCTACAGTTTTTGAAGCACCGGAACGCCGCACAGTTCTAGTTAGCGACTGTGGCCCTTGAACGCAACTCTTCACGGTTTCTCCACCAACAGCAGCAGCAGACAGGTAACTGACGAGCCGGAAAGCAGCGGACACAAGGTGAGGTGACGCTTCAGTTTTATATTTTTCACCTGTAACTAAATTATTTAATGTTCTTTGACTTAACTCTCGGATAAACCACAACAAGCTCCTGCGGTTCGTGTTGTCATGTCCAGCACGGTTAGTTAATGAGTAAGCTGCCAGTAAAACCAAGATAAAATGTAGCCTAAACATCGGTTAATGACTGTAAATAAACCTGAAGGAGTTCAACGTTATTATTAAAGTGTTATTAAAACCGAAACTTTGCTTGTTTTCGAGGCGTTTTAGCATGTGCTTTTATTTTGTAATGTTTCGAGATTTGGTGGGCGTGGCACAGTAATGATTGACAACTTTCTCTACCAATAAGAGGAAGAGGAGATATTAAAGGCGCAGAGTCCCAGTAATTCATTTCTAGTAGATGGTTTTTAAACTAATAATTTGCTTTATAAATGCTTAATTTGCTTTTTGAAGTGATGATAATGTAGATAATTTCTATTAATAATAAATTTTATTTGATTGTGCTCGACAATGTAAGAATAATCAGTTTATTTCTACTCTGCACAACCAAACACTTAATGTTTACTGCATAGACAATAATATATAACTAAGCTTGCAATAACTATAAAACTAAAGTATATTAGTAAATGTATGTTTTGCTAATAAAATAAAAATTTAGATTTAGAGATTCATCATTTATTGCAAGGTTTTATATTAAGCAGCACTGTTTTTCTGTGTTTTACTGTTTTCCCTATACCAGTACTTTTATAGTTTTAATTACAAAATGATTTTGCTGTGCTAACATTAATTATATTTGATGCAGTGAAGTGAAACATTTATAGTTTTTATCAGCCAGGATGACCAGTTTTCAGCTGAGCGCGATGGAGGACATGGTGGAGAAGTTTCTGGACGCCGCAGCGAGAGGAGACCTGACCCAGGTGTCCTCTCATCTGTCCCGCGTCCCCTCGCTCATCAACCGGACAGGATGCAGCGGCTGGACGGCGCTGATGCTCGCAGCGCGCAACGGCCACTACCAGGTGGCGGAGATGCTGGTGTCCCTCGGGTACGTGTGGTGTTCTGCTGGTGAGTGGACAAATTAAAGAAGTAAAATAAGCTGAAGCATGAAAAGAATCTGCTTTTTTCTGTCTTAAGTTGTGACAAGTTCTCCGTGAACGCTTCCTCTCAAACCGCCTACGATATCGCCAAGTTTTGGGGCCACCGACACATCGCCGGCCTGCTGAGCCGCTCAGAGGGCCGGCGCGTCCTGCCGGGCGGCGAACCCCACCTGCAGGAGAACTACTTCAGCAGGGAGACGCTGGACCGGCTGAGTGCAAGGAGGACCGACGAGGTCTGGTTAGAGGCCAAACAGAAGGACCCAGATACCGTCTACCTCCTGTTCTCCAACCTCAGCCCTATGGTCAGCGCGTCGCAGGAGGACGACGATGAGGTACGTGACTCGACTCAGGCTGATCCAAACAAGGTTAGAATAGTTCTGGATTTTTCATTATAGTTTAGTTTTATTTTGTTGAGACTTTTTTTCTTGGAATTCAGTTAGTTACCTCCGCCAAGGGCGAGGTAATCATTTTGGTTGCGTCTGTCTGTCTGTCTGTGTGTGTGTGTGTGTGTGTGTGTGTGTGTGTGTGTG